ATCAAACATAGCGAAAATCACGCTAAGGGTAACAAACGACCAATGATCACAATATTACGCACGATTTCCGACAAATAAAGGAAATTAGTATATACTAAAACAGTGGATAGCGTTGAAGGCGCGCTCTGATTGGCTAGTCAAACTCCGAATATCCTTTGCTATTTACCTCCGAGCAACTCGGGAAAAAATGGCGTCCCGGTTTGCATCCGTGACAAGCGAAGAAATCACTCAAATTAACGACGAAGCAGTGTATATTATCTCACTGTTTTAGTGTATACTAAAACAACTATTCACCTCAGTGTCGGTGGTTAGCGGTGGATATTTACCTCGCCGCTTCGCGGCTCGGTAAATATCCACCACTAACCACCTCCACTTTGGTGAATAGTTGTTAATTAGTATATTCTAAAACAGTAGATAGCGTTGAAGGCGCGCACTCATTGGTAACTCAAACTCGGAATATCCTTCGTTACTCACCCCCGAGCGACTCGCGCTTAATTTCTGCCAGAAAACCCTGTAACCGTTGCAGGAGTAAATGTGTTAAAATCATCACTGTTTTAGTATATACTAACACTACCATTCACCTTAGTGTCGATGGCAGGAGGTGGATATTTACCATTAGCCACCTTCACTTTGGTAAATAGTTGTCCATTAGTGCCAGATCCCCGGCAGACAAACACGCATCTTGCAGCGCCTGCTAGTAGGCTGGGAGAAAATCGACGAGGAATGAAACCAAGAACTTGGGATTTCCAACGGCACCCCGATGCTCCACCAGTCAGAGCTACAAAGAACTCGTCAGTGAGTCATCATAGCTGCAATTTCGTAACGTCTTTTTTCCTTTAAAAATGATTATCTTCCGTATTTATCCAGGAAAAGAGTGTTGCAAGAGAAGAACAATCCCGGTATGAACTAATGATGCTTTGAGAAAAGAAGTGGTTAGCAGCCATGCGGGCTTGCTTCAAAGGACGGGATAGGTGCGGTTGTTTATCTACTTTCGCGGCGAAACCTTTAGATTCTACTTTTCTCGAAAAGAATCAACGGTACACAGTCTTCCCGCACAGATCGAGCCATTATCAACGTGGCGGGTAAGGAAGGCAGCAGCGAGGAGAAGAGAAGGAAGAAAAGAGGAAGGAGGCATGTAGGCGTTGCTAGCGTTCCACCGCCACTCCGTATTGCTATCTGATTAGCCTGCGAGCATGTTATCCTGCTTGGCTTTCGCCTTACGGCCCCTTTTCCGGCTACGTCGGCAGCCGCTTGTGGCAAAAAGTTATTGAAATCTCCGAAAGAGGAGGGCGAAAAAAGTGACAATCAAGACAACAACTAAGTGACTATGCAATCGTTACCCGTGTTTTCCCGCGCTGTAGAAAGTTTGCGTGTTTTTACTATCTTATATTCCCTCTTTGTAGTCTTAACGTTTATTCCAATTTAGTGGTCCAAGATTAAACAATTTAATTCCCCTACTCTCTTCCCAAGAATTCTTATGATGAAACAAGATGTTATTAAGTAAATGACACAGGCATACTCAGAGAAAATGAACTAAGGTAGTCAAAATAGGAGTCGAACGTACAACCTAACGATTAGTAATCCTCATGATGTAAGTTTTGAGAATTTGGATCAACAAATAATCTCCTAGTTGATGTTTTTCTTTATTCTCATCACTTGTCAGCTTGGTATTGTATTCATATTGTTGGGAGAAACTCTGTCTTGGGTCACCCATGCGAGTTAAAGGTTAAGGTTAACTTCAAATGTTACCTCAAAGTCTGTCAGGTCTGGAACAACAAACTGTGGAACTTTTCTTTGAGCGATGATGTAACCAGCTGCACCGAAAGAGAGAAAAGAGACCCATTTTAGTCGACAGTACTCATCATTAATTGGAGGCGCAGTGGCCTTATGGTTGGTGCGCTTGACTCCGGATCAAGTGGTCCAGGTTCGAGCCCAGCCGGGGACAGTGTGTTGTGTTCTTAAGCAAGACAGTTTACTCTCCCAGGGCCTCTCTCCACCCAGGTGTATTAAATGGGTACCGGCAAATTGAATGCTGGGGGTAACCCTGCGATGGATTAGCATCCCATCCAAGGGGGATAGAAATACCCCAAGTCGCTTCATGTTACGGAAACCGGAGTTAAGCGCCTGCCTGACGAGCCACATGGCTCACGTGTAGGCTTTACCTACCTTTACTCATTATTAATGAGTCATTTTGCAATAATTTATCGATTATTTAATACAGTAAATTATGCACCATTCTGATTGGTTCTTACTTGTGATCAGTCAATATAATCTAACAGCATTTTGCTTTTTTATCATATAAAACAAGTAGATGCCATAGGTCAGTTCAGTATTTAGATCAGATCAGATGTAAAGAGAGTTGAAGAAACTTTTTAAAATTAACAAATTCTTGAGATTTTGC